GCGGAATATGAGTTGCTGTTCCTGCAACCTTCGGGTGGCATCGTTCTCTGCTCCTATGATGCTGCTTGGCCTGCTGTGTTCATCCAGCCCTGCACCTTGTTGTCTCGGATTCTCCAGCATCTGCAGTTCCTACTATCTCATGGTTTTTTGACAGTTATGTCAACAATCCCATCTGAGTTTAATCCTTTGGAGTTCAGCTAAACATTCATAATGACATTCTATTTGTACAAGTCTGCAGAGCTGAATTTGTGAAAGCCTTTTGAAGTGGCCTGAAATGATGGTCATTCATTGCACAGCTTCAATCATGCAAAAGATTGCTGGACTGTTAATCAATATAAAGCTTAACATAGAAGTTCCAGATAACACATTAACAATGGAATGCAGAAAAGGACTCTGTATCCAATAAATAAAGTACTCTAATGAATTTTAACACTTCCACACTGCTAGTCAAGTGATATTATCCTTATGGAAACCAATAGCTATTTTTGTAAAAACAAAAACAATGATTTTCCCAGTTACTAATGAAAAGAATTGTAGGACAACATTTCATATTTTAAGGCATTAACGGTAACAGGCAAGTTAAAATCCATATAGATCGACCATTGCTTAACAGGCAACTAAAACACGAAAGAAAAGAAACTTTTGCAGTAACTAATTAGCTCAATCTAAACGTCTTGTGAAATGTTTTTATTTTATACCGTGCTTCTGATGGATGGACAGCAATGTGATCAAATCTCAATGTATTCTAGTTTCTAGGAAGATCGCTTCAGCTTGCAAAGTGAGAGTTTTCCAGCATTCTTCAAGAATTATCCCACTCAGCCAGATTATCTCAGACCAACATTCACTAGTAAATTCCACTTCGAACATTCCTGAAATCAAGAAAGATCTTGTTCTCTTACTTTTGTACAGAAACCCAGCGTAGGCAAGCATTCTGCTTAATTGTTAACACAAAATCAGCCCGCAGTGGTCTTGACACTTGCTGCTTCCCCATAGGGTAGCAATACGCTTTGTTTGTTTCTCTCCATATCTGTGCATCTGACCGAAAAAGTAGCTGTCCACCTTTCTGTGCCAAGGTGCAAAAGCTGTCACCTGATTTTTCAATAATATCAGTTTGGATTCATTGCCATGTCTCCAGGCAGAATTAGTATATGCCTCATTGGGAAATTTTTTCTTAAGAATCATAGAATCCCTCCAGTGTGGAAACAGGCCATTCAGCCCAAGAAGTCCACTCCAGCCCTCCGAAGAGCATCCTACCCTGACTCATTCCACTACCCATGCATTTCCTGATGTATAACCCAAACATCCCTGGACACTACAGGCAATGTAGCATGGCCAATCCACCTAGACTGCACATGTTTGTCTGTGGGAGGAAGCCGGAGCACCCAGAGGAAACCCACACAGACGTGGGGTGATTGTGCAAACCTCACACAGACAGTCACCCAAGGCTGGAATCAAGCCCTGGTCCCTGGTGCTGTGAGGCAGCAGTGCTAACCACTGAG